CTAAGCAGGGTCGAGTCTGGTTAGTACTTGGATGAGAGACAATTTTGACAACTCTTCCTTTCAAATATCTCAGGCAATCAATCCTCCACCTTTTTCTTACCCTTCAAAGCCTCTTGTATCTGTTAGGATTAGGATTTAGTTGCAGACTAAACATAGTGGCTTCAACATGTCACTAATGTGTCTCTCATAGGACAGGAGTCTGAAGGTACACTGTAGGCAGCATGGCAGTCCAGCCCATTGTCTTGGGGCCCAGATATCATTCCTAGGACATAGACCTTCATCTTTGGGTCCAGGAGGATGGCAGGGTGAGGAGTGCCAAGAAGTGACTGTCTACTTGGAAGGAGACACTAATAATGTACTTTTTACTTATATAAAAAGATGTCTAATTAGAAAGGCAATTTCTTTTAGCAAACTGATGGAAGGGCTGGAGAGGCTGTAGGCAGTTAGCTGCTTCCACCTTGCTTTGTGAGTAGTTTTTCTGTTTGCCACCTCTAGGTTAATCTACATACTCAAAACAGCTCTGTCATTTGTTTGCTTTGGTATATTATTAACCACTTCCCTTGACATGGGGGGGGTCTTAATTTGTTGCCTAAGCTGGTCTTGAACTCATGATGCAGTCTAGAAGATTGACCTTAACTCTAGAGGAGATGACTCCTGTCTCAGTCTCCTGAGAGCTGGAATTGTAGGTATGTGCTGCCACACCTAGATAGTCAACCCTTTTGACTTTAAATTTTGTTATCTGTGAAATGGTACTGATGTTTACTTATGTTGGCTAGAGAGTGAGATGGAGATACTTAGACCAACCTCCCAATCTATAATCAGTCATGTAGATGTTCAGAGGTTTTTGCTTTGTTTTGTTTTGTTTTGTTTTTGATGGTATCCTGTACTTGGTTCATGAAACAATGTATTGTAGAGATAACATGATGGTTGTAGTGGTTAAAATAGAATGCATTTTGCACTTTACCTGCTTGGGTTTGACATCTCATTTGCCACTTTATGTTTCTATAATTTTAGGTAAACTAGTTAAGCATTCTTTGCTTTAGTTTTTTTTTTTTTTTTTTTTTGGTCAAGAATTGGTAGGTATTGTAAATGTTTTAGGGTTTGTGGGCTGAAAGGCAAAATGAAATATACTTTTCAGGCAACTAAGAGAAGGATTTCTCTGAGTTTTTATTGAAATTTAAAATGCAATAACTAAGAGTTGAGGATGTAGAGTTGGTGTAGTGCCTGTTTAGCATAGAAGCATAGAGGAGATACTGATGCTGTCATTAGTGTTTTATAACCTGGAAATGGTGTCACATGCTGGTCATCTCAGCACTTGAGAGGTAGATAGAGTCAGGAGTGATAGAAGACTGTCTAGCAAGTTTGAACCCAGCTTGGACTATGTGACAATGTCTTAAGGACTTTTTTTCTAAAGTAGATATGTTGGTACATGATTGTAATCCCAGCACTCAGGAGGCTGAGGTAGGAGTATTGAATACAAGATCAGTCTGGCAACCCTGTCTTAAAAAAAAGAAAAGAAAAATAAAAAAAGGGACTTATTTGTAAAGAGAAGCTTTTTCCTTGAGAGAAGCCTTCCCGCCAGCCTGGTTCTAGAGCCACATCAGTCCCAAATAAACACACAGGAGGCTACATTAATTATGAAGCTGTTGGCCTTGCTTGTTTCTTCCTGGCTAGCTCTGACTTAAGTAATTACCCCATAATTGTTAATCTATGTATTTCTCTTACTGGAGAAGTTTCCGGGCTTCCTACCCCATGGCGTTACTTCTCAACTCTCCTTGTGTTTCTCCTACCCAGAGTCCTTCTGGACTCCTAGTCCCTCCTATCTAGATTCCCTATTGGCCAGACAGTGCTTTATTGACAAATGCACAGGACTTCCCCAACACTTATTATTAAAATTTCTTTTCAGAGTTATTTTTTTATTTTGTGTATATGAGTGTTTTGCTTGTAGGTATGTCTGTGCACCGTGTGTGTGCCTGGTGCCTACAGAGATCAGAAGAGGGTGTTATATCCCCCCTCCCCGGGACTGGAGTTATGGCCTGTTGTGAGCTACCATGTGGGTTCTGGGAAATGAGCTGAGGCCTTCTGCAAGAGCAAGTATCCTTTGCCACTGAGCCATCTCTCCAACATTATAATAATATTCTTATTATTATTGATAGTAAAGAATTACAGGTATTGGAGACAGGAGTTATGACTCTGCATTGATAGGGCTTTTCTATCTCATGCGAGGCTCAAGTCGTTAAGAGGTAATATCCGACTGCATTTCTTCAGGGTCTGTAACTTGTCAGGTACTCTTCTGTTTGCTCCACCCGCATCCACCGCCGTCAGCCGTCACACGTCTTAGAAACCCTGCTGCAGCTGGCCTTCTTTTCCTTACGTTGTCTAGCTTTGCTGTGTGTGCTTGTGGAGGTCAGGGCACCTTGAGAGAGTGAGCTCTCTCCTGTCCTGTGGGTTCCAGGGACTGCACTCTGGCCATCAGGTTTAGAGCAAGCACCTTTACCCACTGAGCCACCTCTCCAGCCCAAGTTAATATTTCCTGAAGGGTTTGAAAATATTCATAGCTATCACTATTCTACAAGACTGTTTTTTGAGTAACTGTTTTCACTTTAAATATTAAATTTGAGTCAAATATTAAAGTTTTCTCTGGACAGAGTTCTTGGCTTCTGTAATCCATTACAGTTTAATTGACTCACCATTTATAATGTCCTTTCTTTACTTGGTAATCAAATAAACGATTTTGAGATCTAATTTGGTTGTGGCCTCATTTTCCCTTGTTATTTTTGGGAAGACATTGTGAGTGATGAGGTGCTTTCTTTGAAATGCTCCAATTTGCCTGATCCTTTTTCTCCCTACTGAGCGCTCTGTGGTACTGTAGGTGAGGGTGTTTTTCCTGTTATTACTGTGACTGCTTAGCTTTATTGTCTCCTGGGATATTAACTTATATTTTCTCCCAGAATGAGCTGCTTTCTATGAGTCCTTTCCCTGGTTTATTTTGGCATCTCTGTTTCATATTAGAAGCTTTTTATTCCCCCCCTTCTTACTTGAGTCAGGGTTTTGCTATGTAACAGCTCTGACTGTCCTGGAACTAGCTCTGTAGACCAGGCTGACCTTGAACTCACCAGAGGTCTGCCTGCTTCTGCCTCTTGAATGCTGGGATTAAAGGCATGTGCCATCATGCCTGGGCATGTTAGAGGAGTGGTAAGCATTACTGTAAGGGGGTAAGCAATTGTTAAAGCCTGCTAGGGGAAAGAATATTAACTATCCTTGAGTTCTGGTTGCCATTTAGATTCTCTGGCATTGAATCTTCCAATCCCCTGTCTTAGAGGCTGTGAAACGTATTATGTAGCTGTGTAGCAAGCAGGCTTTATCTTCCTGCATTTATCCTCTACCTCATTACCCTCCCTATCCTTGGCCTTAGAGTCCCAGGTCCTTCCAGTCAGCCTCTGATCCCATGGACAATGTTCCACAGGCTGCCCTACACTCTGTTTGGATTCCATGGTGCTTTGTCTACATTTCTGTAATCTTCCCAGGGTTCTATGGTATGAATTAGAGGAAAGGAAACATAGTGAGGAAATACTGGACCAAAGCAAGACCCAAAATCTGCTGAGCAAACTCCAAACTCTGCATCTTCATGTCAGATGTCAAAATGCTCTTCAGATCTCCAACTCTTGACTGGTCCTCCCTGTTAGCAGCTCTCTTTGGTAGATATCCCATGCTCTGGCACCTCTAACATCTTAGAGTCTCAGCACAATCTGGGTTTCACCCTCACAGTTTCACTCAATGTTCTCTCTAGGCCTCCAAGCAGGGACACTCCTGACACATGCCTGGACTCAGAGGCTTTTCTTAGCCTTGGAGGGAGATTCTACGACCCCCTTCTTATACCCTTGGCTCTAAAGCAGTGGTTCTCACCCTATGCAGACAGATTTTGCCCCCCAAATGCTTGAGCTGGACCCCCACAGTTCAAATTGTTCTCGGCACTGTCTTCCAAGCTCTTACTAGGATGGTGCTAAGCCCTGTTTAAAGAAAGCTTCTAGCCGCTTTTCTGGTCCAAAGTCCCAAAGTCTTCTGTATTCCTATAACAAACAGCATGGTCAGGCCTGTTACAACAATTCCCTAGTATCTCGTACCAACTTCTGTCTTAGTCATTGTTCTGTTGTTGTGAAGAGATATCATAACCAAGATAAGTCTTATAAAAGAAAGCATTTAATTGTGGGCATGCCTACAGTTTCAGAGGTTAATTTATTATCATCTTGGTAAGGAGCATGTTGGCTTGTAGGCAGACATGGTACTAGAGAAGTAGCCAAGAGTTCTGCATCTTCATCCATAGGCAGAGAAAGACAGATAGACAGACAGACAGACTGACTGACTCACTGGGCTGGGCTGGCATGGGCTTTTGAAACACACATCCTCCAACAAGACCACACCTTCTAATCCTTTCAAAATAGTGCCACTCCCTGTTGGCTTAGTATTCAAATACATGGCCTGTGGGGGCCATTCCTATTCCAGCCACCACAGAATATCTTCACATCTTTAAGATCTAACTCCTTTTCAGAGTGCTTTATTGCATGTGATTCTACAGTTTAACTTATCCCCTATTTGTGTAAACTGTTTAGGCTATTGTTATAAACAATTGTGCCATGGACATGTGCATCCATAGAAGTTGTCAACAAGTGTCAGTTTATCTGTGAGGTAGGTTTTTTTAGAATGAGGATAGAAAGCACTTTCTTTATGAAGCTGACAAGGTGGAAGGCAAAGGATAAATACATGCATGAAAATATTAGGTGTCAGAGAATGTGATTGCCCCTCTGTCCTTTGCCTCACCCACTAGGTTCTGTTGCTTCGTGTATACAAACCCCCAGAGTTGGCCTCCATTTCCCCTCATCTTAGATTTGTGCTTCCTCTGTAGTGAGCAGGACTGGGGGGAAGTCTAGCTTCCTTTTGGGTACCAAGTTGGAGTAGGCAGGTAGAATGGAAGAGAAGAGGAAGCACGGAGTGTAACCCCCTTTATTAGATTTCTGGAACTTGATAGCCATGAGTAAGTGTTAGTGGGCTTAATTCTCTCCGTTTGGAGGTACAGGGATGCCAGTGTGTAGGACCAAGTGAGTCAGAAAGACTGCCTTGTGTTGGTCTCACATTGGTTGGTGCTCAAATTCCATGACTCCAGGTTGAAGAAGGTCCATGTCATCATGTGTGGCAGTGTGATCCTTGAAGGGAGCCAGTCCTTCATCCTTTGAGCCTAGACACCTGATGAGGATGAGAGAGAGAGACTTGTCTCTGCAGCCACTCCCATCTCCTGCCCCTTGCCTCATGGGAGTTTTGGATTATAATGCTGCCGACATACAGTGGGCACTTAGCATGTACCCACCTGCATCCAGTGACTCAGTGAATCTCTGCCAGAGATACTTAGTAGAGTCCTCGTGCTTGCTTCAGCGGTGCCTATACTAAAGAAAAAAAAAAATTGGAAGGACCTATGAGAGTCCTCACACTGTTAGCCGTTTGTAAACCTTTACTGGACTGGTGGATAAAAATGGTACTTTTTTTTTTTTTGGTTTTTTTTTTTTTTGAGACAGGGTTTCTCTGTATTGTTTTGGAGGCTCTCCTGGAACTCACTTTGTAGACCAGGATGGCCTTGAACTCACAGAGACCCGCCTGCCTCTGCCTCCCGAGTGCTGGGATTAAAGGCGTGTGCCACTAACGCCCGGCTTAAAAATGGTACTTTAAAACATTTAATTTTTTTAGATTTGTCTTTACAATTTTTACTTACGGATGTGTCTGTGTGAATGCATGTGTCCTGTATGTGCCTGCAGAGGCCAGGAAAAGGGGCGCTGTATTCCTGAGTGCTGGAGTCAGCAGCAGGCTGTGAGCCTTCAGACATGGGTGCTGGGAACCGAACTCAGGTCCTCTGGAAGAGCTCTTAACTGCTGAGTCATCTCTCCAGTCCCACTTTGTTGTTGTTGTTGTTTTTTTTTTTTTTTGGTTTTTCGAGACAGGGTTTCTCTATGGCTTTGGAGGCTGTCCTGGAACTCACTCTGTAGACCAGGCTGGCCTCGAACTCACAGAGATCCACCTGCCTCTGCCTCCCGAGTGCTGGGATTAAAGGCGTGCGCCACCACCGCCCGGCCCCACTTTGTTGTTTTAAATACCATATTTTATCCTTGTTTTAGGTTGAAGGTCTTTGCATGTGTTTATTAACTTGGACCATGGCTATTTCAGCAAGCATGTTTTCAGTACTTTGTTTTAGGAATGTGCCAGAGGTTAATTAGGGATGGGGGCGGGGGTGGGGTGGGGGGAGGCTTGACTTGTGGCTCTCAGGAGTAATCCACCTAGGCAGACTAGTTTTATATAATGTAGAAATATGCCATTTCAAGTTCCTCCTTACATAGTGGGAGCTTGAGGGAAGGGACGAGGAGGTGATGGGAAGGAAAGTGGTGTGGGGGGAGGTGGAGTCTGTTTCCTGTGTTGAGATGGTGTGCTTTACTCCATGCGTGATCGTGGCCCTGAAAGGCGTGCGCCACCACCGCCCGGCGTCACTGAGTTTTAAGCATCGGTAGCCTTGGTACTTGGCAGCTATTATAATCCTTGACCTCTAGCAGCTAGGAGTGATGGCAGTACCTATTTTAGGGTTCCTGAGCAGGCCTCTGTCCTGAGATCTTGTTCCTGTAGCTGTAGTTCTTACAGTTCTCAGACTTTTCAGTCTGTGAGACAGTAGTATAGCTTACAGGCGTAAGGTAGCTCAGACCCTTGACCCTTCAGGTTGGGCAGCTCCATGAAACCCATCCATGGATTAGGGCATATAATCTCTTAGCTTCAGCTCTTTGAAGCCTTTCTGCTACCTGTTTTTGCCCCAGCTGCTCTCTGGACTGTTATTGCCTCTCTTGTTATTGCCACAAAGCTGTTGTCACTACTCTACTGCTGTTTCCCCATTCTTTGTGTTACCAGCTTAGCCATGTCACTAATAGGACGATGGTCAGAAGTAAGCAGAACTGGCCATTTGAAAGTTAGATGTGCAGAGGCAGGCGGATCTCTGTGAGTTCGAGGCCGGGCTGGACCGATAGCCTCCGAAACAATACAGTGAAACCCTGTCTCGTAAAAACCAAAAAAAAAAAAAAAAAAGAAAGTTAGATGTGGTGGTGCACCTGAAATCCTAGTACATGGAATGCAGAATCAGGAAGATCAGGTATTCAGAAGCCATCTTTGACTACACAGCAAGTTTAAGACCAGCCTGAACTACATAAAATCCTGTCTTTAAAATGCAAATGGGGCATGAAGAAGTGGCTCAGCCTTTAAACTTCAGTTTCAGAGGATCCAACGCCCTCTTCTGGCTCCTGTGGGTACTACATGCATATGGTGCACAGAAATACATGAAGGCAAAACATAAAATAAATAACATCTGTAAAAAAACCACATGAAACTGGAAACAACAAAAACCCAAAACAAACACACATGCAAAAAAAATCACATGAAGCCAGGTATGGTGTTCTATACCTGTTCTTTCTGTGTTTGTGAAGGTAAGGTTGGAATGTAGGGTGAGACCAACTTGAACTACATAGTAACTTCTAGGCCAGCCTCTTTATACTGAAATTAAAGATTTTTTTAAATATATGATGAGTGTTTTTCATGTAGCATGTATGTGTATGTACCACATGTATGCCAGAGGAGGGGGTTTGATCCCCAGGAACTGGATTTAGGCGTGATTGTGAGCCACCATGTGGATGCTGGGAGTTGAACCCATGACTTCTGCAAGAGCAACAAAACCACAGATACCCCAGAAGTTCTTTTATTACTTAGGAGTGTTTTTAGCCATTCCAGGTTTTTTTTTTTGTGTGTTTACATATGTAGCTGAAAATTGTTCTTCCAATTTCTTTAAAGAATTGTGTTGGAATTTTCATGGGAATTGCATTGAACCTACAGATTGCTTTTGGTAGGATGGTCATTTTCACTATATTAATCCTACTCATCCATGAGCTTGGAGGATCTTTCCATCTTCTGGTATCTTTTTAATGTCTTAATGTTTTTGTTGTACAAGTCTTTTACTTTGTTAGAGTTATCTGAAAACATTTTATTGATTGATTGATTTATGCTATTGTGTAAGACATTTTTCCCTGATTCCATTCTTGGTCTATTGCTCATTTATATTGTATATGAAGGCTAATCTTTAAGATTTTATTTTTATTTTATATATATGGAGTTTTGCCTGCATCTGTGTCTGCACTATGTGCTTGTAGTATCTGTGGAGCCCAGAAGAGAGGGTTTCAGAGCCTCTGGAAGTGGAGTTAGAGATGACTGCCCACAGTGTGGGTGCTGGGTAAAGAACCCAGGTCCCTGTAAGAGCAACAAGTACTTTTAGCCTCTGAGCCATCCCTCTGTCCCTTGTCCTATCTCCTTGATGACTTGGTCCCTTTATTAAAATGTAGCGGCCTTCTTTATCTCTTTCGACTTTTTTTTAAAGATATATTTATTTATTGTGTATACAGTGTTCTCCCTGCATGTATCCCTGCAGGTCAGAAGAGGGAACTGGATCTCATTATGGATGGTTGTGAGCCACCATGTGGTTGCTGGGAATTGAACTCAGGACCTCTGGAAGAGCAGCTCTTAACCACTGAGCCATCTCTCCAGCCCTCTTTTGACTTATGGTAGTCTGTTTTTCTGTTTCCTTGCTAGATTGTCTTACGTCTGTGGGTGTCTTTATAGTGAGATGCCATGTCTTTGCAATTGAGACCTCTGATTTGGGATAGCCTCCACTCCCTCAGCACTGCAGCACATGGCAGTTAGTTGAGTTACTTTCTCCTTTGTATTGGGCCATCTAGACTTTGTGTTTCTTTAGCACTGTTGTCCCATTTATAAAAGAACTTTCTTTCCAGACTATTCTGGATTACTAGGAATTTGCTTTGAGACATTTTCTTGGGCAGAATTATGTTTTTTTATGTTATTTTTTTACTCAATGCCTGTGTGCATCTTTGTAAGTGCATGCGCACGTGTGTGGGCAGATGTCTTCAGAGACTTAAGGAGGATGCTGGTTCTCTGGGGGTTGTTGTTACTGGCATTTGTGAGCCACCTTCCCTAGGTGCTGGGATCTAAACTCCAGTACCTAGGATAGAACAGCAAGTGCTTGTAACTATAGAGCCATCTCTCTAGCCCCAGAGTTGTGTTCATCCTAGCATGTGGGATAAGCATTGGCTGGCACTTTCGTGTCTGTACTGGCTCTGATAGATTATAATCCCTCTTCTTCCTTTGGGAAGAGAGCTGTGCTTGCCTTTAGAGGAGATGCAGGTTTATTATCTGTCTAGCTCAATGTTATGAAAGTGTGGTGTTTATTTCAAATGATTTTTATTTTTTTTTTTTGGTTTTTCGAGACAGGGTTTCTCTGTGGCTTTGGAGGCTGTCCTGGAACTCGCTCTGTAGACCAGGCTGGCCTCAAACTCACAGAGATCCACCTACCTCTGCCTCCCGAGTGCTGGGATTAAAGGCGTGCGCCACCAACGCCAAATGATTTTTTTTTTAAACAGGACGTTTGGTGGACATGCCCATGTGAGGACCGTTGCCTGCCACATAGAAGATGGGAGCGAACAGTAGCAGCATCAGCGACCTTCCTAAAAACGAGTACTTGAAGAAGCTGTCAGGCACCGAGTCCATCTCTGAAAACGACCCCTTCTGGAATCAGCTCTTTTCCTTTTCCTTTCCTGCGCCAACCAGCAGGTAAGACAATGACTGGAGACTGGAAATTCTCACTGAAGGCTGCATGAGCCTGCGCTATCAACATGCTACTTTCCAGTGTCCTTTTATCCTGGTTAGTATGTTAGTAGAAACTACAGAAGGTAGGAAAAGTGGGAAATAGTTTTCCTCCTGCATCTGTCTCCTTACCCAGCTGCATTTGCCTGCAGCAGTTCTCAGCAGTTCTTTTGGTTCTTTTTTTTTTTTTTTTTTTTTTTTGGTTTTTCGAGACAGGGTTTCTCTGTGGCTTTGGAGGCTGTCCTGGAACTCACCCTGTAGACCAGGCTGGCCTCAAACTCACAGAGATCCACCTGCCTCTGCCTCCCGAGTGCTGGGATTAAAGGCGTGCGCCACCAACGCCCGGCTAGTTCTTTTGGTTCTTAAAGGCAGTGTGAAGTTATTTTCCACACATCCCATTTAGTCTTAAAGAATTGTGTAAACATAAACACCAGCTTCAAATCATCCTCCCTCTTGCTTTCTCCTCCATTAAAGTAAAATATGTCTTGTATATGTAAGCATATAGACCATAGTTTTATCTGTTTTCATGGCTGTAGAACAGCCTTTAAATATGTTTAATCAACTTTCTAATAGTGGGCATTTAGACTATTTCTAATGTTTTGTTACTTCATAGTGCTGTGCATATTTCACAAACATACAAATTTATCTCTACAGTGAATTCCTTGAAGTGGAATTGTTGGGTCAGAATGTGTATGCATTTATAAATATGCCA